GTGTGTGTGTGTGTGTGTGTGTGTGTGTGTGTGTGTGTGTGTAAATAGATGTATTTTAAGGAACTGGCTCATGAGATCATGGAAGTTTGACTAGTCCAAAATTTGATGGGGGTAAGCTGGCATGATAGAGTCAGTGAAGAATAGCATTGAATTCCAAGGCAGTTTGCTAGAAAGAGGTCAGTGTTTGTTCCACTAAGGTCTTCAAATGATTAGATGAGGTCCACTCACATTATGGAGGGTAGTTTGCTTTAAAAAGTCCATTGACTTAAATGTAAATCTTATCCCCAAAATGCCTTCACAGAACCTCCAGAAATTATTCAGTATCTGGGTGCTGTGGTCCAGCCAAACTGACACATAAAATTAACCATCACAGCTAGTGTTCCTTAAACTGGGTCCAGAGATATTCTTGGGAATCTGGGAGTATTTTAGGAATTTTAATTTCTGTGTTTTCATTTTAGTAATTTAAATTCTTTTTCAAGAAGTAGTAGTAACAAAATTCTTTCACATGGGTAATTTACAGTTGAAAAAAAATTTTTTTAATACACTAAGACTAGTTTTTTGAACCACTTTCTCACTAGGTCCATGGATCCTTAGAGGTTTCTATGATCAGATCTGCAGAATTCTTGATAATTTTTTTCTTAAAAGTGTTGTTACTGTACTCCAGCTTGAAAAAGCGTAATACAGGCTATAGAAATCATAAAAGGAATTGAAATATTTAAAAAGTTTCCTGAAAAACTGAGATATGCCACAGTATTAGATTTTCTAATATAGAATAACGCTAATATAAAAGTCACAATTACCAGTCTTCTTTCCCCACTACTACATTGTTAATTATAACCCTGTTAAAATTAGCTATTTATTTATATTAGTACATAATTATTCAGTTGGAGGGCTCTAAAACAGTTTATTTCCTTGGGCCATTTGTAGACCATGCTGCAAATTTTCTTAACTTCTCTCTTAATAATTATTTACCTCCCTTTGTGTCTGTGGGCCTTTCCTGTAACTTGGTTTTTAGTTCATCACATCTTTTTCAATACTACACTTGTTCATATATGTGGCTGTTTTTTTCTTTTCTACTTTACTTTTTATTATATTTCTTCTTTTATTTTTGCCCTTTGTAGTGCTTTTTTAATAGGCATCTATTATTTTGTCTTCAGTTGGTGGTCTTATAATGAAGTTAGCTTGTAATCCTTTGAAGTACTTTTTTAAAAATTTTTTGGTATCATTAATATACAATTACATGAGCAACATTATGATTACTAGACTCCCCCAATTATCACGTCCCCACCACATATCCCATTACAGGCACTGTCCATCAATGTAGTAAGATGTTATAGAATCACTACTTGTCTTCTTTGTGTTATACTGCCTTCCTTTGAAGTACTTTTATGATACACTGAAAAGGACAAATTAAACCAATATCATGGTGATATTATTCTGCTCTCAATAGAATTCACATTCTTAGAGTTATCCTATATGGAGACTTTTTGCTTTAATATTAGAAAAACTGATGATGAAAAAGGGTTTTCTTACTGAATTTTGGAACTTCCTACTTGAGGTAAGTTTCTCTGTACATTTCAGTTCATTAATTAAAAGTTATTGTATTTTGGAAAAATACTTAAGGTTTTTCCTCATCTTGGAGGGCCTTATTTCTTCTCAGAAATAACAATGATAGCTGTTACTGATAATTAATCAAGTGAGCTATTTAAATTACTCTAGGAGGATTTATATACTTCAAATTAAGAGTTCTTACTCTATTGAATTGATAGTATGGGAGTGAAAGCCCTACTAGTTATGTCTGACATTGATCAAGGAAAGCACGTAACTACACATCAATCAGCTCAGTTTGAGATTTGTTGAGTCTCTAAGACTGACTAGATCTGGAGCAGATACTACCCCAGAATGCTCATTAAATTAAAACAAATCTGTGTGACCCTATCGTAAGGTTTAAGGACACTGGGTAAAGGTCCCATCACAGATAAGTGATGCCCATTGGTGCTGGAAACGTATTCATTTAAGTTACTGGCCATGTGGTTGGACCACCATATAAATGAAGATTTTGTTACTTTATGAAGTCACTGATTGCATAATATTAAGTCCTCAGGTCTCCATACCAAAACAGGAATTGATTTCCTTAATACAGTTCTCAAAGTGAGGTCAACAGACTTTGAACAAATAATGTATCAAAGCACATTGTAGAGGTAGCTTTAAGAATTCAGATGTCCTGTATTAAGACAAGCATTAAGGAGATGTACAAAGTTGTAAAAGAATGTCACTCCCCATTAAATTTTTTTGTTTTAGGAAAAAATATTTAACATAAAAGTGGTCTTTAGCTTAACATATGAGTTTGTTCTTAGTGGATTAATAAATTATTTTTTAATCCTTAATTTTAATTTATAATATAGTAAATATAGGTAGATACAACTCACATAAACAGAAGCTTTTTAGAGTCCTCAGTAATTTAAGAATGAGAAGGGTGCTCACACCAAAAAGTTAGAAAACTGCTAGTCTAATATTTGAAGGAGTCAAATACTGAAGACTGGCTCATTCTAAGAAGTAAAGTGTAGATCTTCAGTCATTTTGTCCAGCTCAGATAAAACCAAAGTTAAGGGTATGTATTAGGTTTGATTTTTATTTTGTTTGTGTCCATTTGCAATTTTTAAATCAGAGCATTGTTTCTCTTGATTTAACACTTTTTTTAAACCACTTATTTCCCTGATTATACTCAAGACTGAGATGCCTTCTTACTTGGATAACCTTAAATGGTGATAATTATTTTTCATAAAGGACTCATCCTGGTATATGCACATTTGAAGTTAGATATGCAAGTTAATTATTTAAAATGTTTCATCATGACATGGAAATATTACAAAATATACCCCAAATTAAAAAGAAAACCCTGTATATACCTACTTGTCAGTTAGAGTGGCATGATCAAAAACGAGTACATGTTGTGAAGCACCAGCACCAAACAGATGGCCCAGGAAGGTACATAACAGGTGTGCAGTCTGGGCAGAAGAACATGAAGCCATTAAAGCTATCAGTTTTCTTTTTTCTGTAGATACTGATCTATGAATAAATAAAGACATAATCCTTGGTTATACAAGGACCAAATTTAGAATATTAGTGTTGCAGAACTGCTAACTATTCCTTTATTTCTTACCCTAATTTAAAAATTAGCTATACACAGTGGTAGATAACACTACTGTTTATTGTAATTAATGCATCTGGTCATAAGTAGATCATTTATAAATGTGAAATTTCTGGAGGCCCTCTTTTATTGTCATGTTATATTTAACTTCCAGCAGGACGGATTTGAGCTGTATTGCTGTAGGCTATTTGCCTCTAAATAAAGCATTTTTCTCTTTTCATCGTGTGAAAGGAAATGGTCAGTCTGAGATAATGTTGGCGTGGAAATAGCTATATAAGATTAGAAAGGTACTTGTTCACAAATCACATGTGTATAACTCCATAGGTTTTCTGTAATTTTAGAAAAACAGGTCTTTCCAAAGATAAGATTTTTTTTAAAGTATGCCATCTAAAAGAGTTTAATCAAAACTTCATTAACTATGATTCTGTCTATTCTGAATTAATCTTTGGTTAGCATTTTAATTATTAAATGTGAAGGAAAGAGAATATTGAGAATACTTGAGAGACTATAGTTTCCTTTTAGAGAATTTTAGACTCCTACTATACCCAGTTTGTTTAAATTACTATACTGTGACTTCTACTCTATAAAGAAACAAACCTTAAAATACATGCAGGAATAGAGTTTTTTCTCTTTTCACACAGTGCATACTTTCTACAAAGAAATTTTTTATACTGTTTTGTTTATGCATAGTCTCTCACACTTGTCTTATTGAATCTCTATCATTGAATCCTACAAATATATAGCCTCATTAAATGTGTTTCAGTTAAATAATAGTCAGATATAATTACTTACATTTTTCCCTAGAAGTAAAAAAAATGGACAGGCTTCATGAAACATAATTTTTTTGTGGGTATTTTTTCTCCCTTTAGAAAATGTTTACATGGTTAAAAGGATTAGTTAATACCAAAAGGTTTGTAATGAAAAACAGCAGTCCCCTGCCCTAAGTTACTCACATCTCAGTTCTGTAAAGTAAAACCTTTGAATTTTTTTAACAATTTCTTCTATTATTTAGCCCATATATAGTGATAATATGTCTGCCCTAGTATATGTTGATTTATCCCTTTTAGACATTATCTGTTTTCTTTCTGGATAATAGTAAATGGGATGTTATCTTTTTTATGCCCTATCTTCTTCCCCTGTCCTTCTAATGTAGTTATTCCAAGTTTAGTTAAATCAATAATCACTGTATACAACACTGTATAGTTATATAGTATAACTATAATGTTCTCTGCAGTGCCAGATAGTGTACCATTATCACATTTTTCTTATTAAAAAAATACTCTTTTTCTGAAGTTACTTTTTTTCTTGATTTGCATAATTTTCAGTAAATCTATCTTTGAATATTCAACTATTTTTCATGGAAGTGGGGATAGTACTTTTTGGGCAGTTTCACCAAAGAGTGATCCTTCTCCCATAAGGAGATCACATTCTTGGAGTGAAAGGGCCTGTTTTCCATATTCCTAACATGTGTAAGTATGACCATAACTCAAAGTAGACATGAGTCAAGTGAGAAATCCAGCCCTTATAATTGAAAGTTTCTTGCTTATGTCCAGAGTGCTTAGTAGTTATCCTGGTCTCCAAGTCCAGAAAGTTTATAGATAAACTGTAATGTGATATCCTATAATTCTAAGGAAGTAGGAATTTTATATTTCTGTTTGCACACTCTAAATAGGTATAATGTAGAGTAGGAACTGAAACTGAGGCTGTGAGAACCTAGGTATCTGCCTGTTCTACCAAAGATTTCCACTATTACATTGGATTTCCTAATGAGTCAACCAGTTTATAAAAATACCCTTAAATCCCATGTAATTATAGCAGAGATTTGTAAACACAAAGCACCAGTTTTATAAAAGGATGTAGAAAACTTTCATTCCCCTATCTTTAAGATCCCTGTTGAATATGAGGTCACTTTTAGTTGTTAAAATACTTTTCTGTGAATTTTTCAAAATACTTTCTCTAGCTTCTCTAAATTGCATTTTTTTCTTTTTCCTAGATTACTAAAATAATTTCATCTGATATCTTAATAATTAAAAACTAAACAGTTCCTTTTTTAATATTCAGAATTGTCTTCATTGTTTCAAGCAGTCCTCAAAAGAATGAAAATAAAAAAACATAAAATTTACAAGTATTTTTTTTACAAAAAAATCTTAAAAGATCAAGCAAACCACAGTTCTATTCTTAAGACTCACCAATTCTTAGAAAAACTTCATTCAAAGAAAGAGACTATGGGCCTTTCTGGTAACTGAATAAGTTTTGAAATATCACAAGGAGGAGTGTTAGACATAAATTTAACAAAAAGCTTTGGGAATTTATTTTTTAAAAATCTAAAGAGCATGGGAAACTTGGTAATAACCTGTCAGGGAGAAAGATTATATGTACATTAGTTGTTAAGGTGAGAGTTTTTTAAAGTGGGAATGAAATCACACATGTTTATTAGAATATTATACATCCATCCCAAAGTAAAAATCCAAATTGTTTATTGTCATTCAATAATGGCTTGCATGTAAATTTGTACAGTTTTTATAGTTTATACACATGTTCAGTAGTAACACTGAAATATTTCTTAAGTATTTGTTTTCAGAATTAAATACCTAGATTTATAATAAAAACTACTGTAATAAACAAGAGGTGGGGAGAAAGAAATGAATTTTCATTAGTTTGATTACTTATTGTGAAGACAGAATTAGGGATATGCTCCAAAAACATAGTGAAAACAATGATTTGTTGTGCACATGGATTTTATAGATAAAACACTGCTGAAACTTTTCTGCCTGTCTTTTCTTTGTTTTCCTGAATAATCCTATAAGGGAAAAGCTGAGAAAGAGAAAGGGAAAAAAGTGGTAAAAGCCTATACAAGTTACTACTTTGGACTTTAATTTTCTGATTTATAGTGAAACTAGATAATCTCTAAAGTATTTTTTAGGTTTAAATGTTACCAACATATGAATAGGAGACAGTTGTAGATGAGAGGTATATAAGGGGATTCAAATATAGAGCAAGGAAAATAGAAACAAAGAGATGGAAGAAGACTAGAGAGGAAAAGATTTACGGAGTGCCTAGGATGGATTGCAGATGAAATTTACATAACTATCTAATATTTTTGTTACTGGAGTTGTTCCTACTCTCTTCTCCCAAATACAGAAGTACTTTTCTCCACAATGATAGCTTGACTAAACTAAGCTTTCATACATTAATATAGCCACAGTAAGTACTCAATAAACATTTGTTTAATTTACTGATTTAAAGTATACCAGAGTTAATTATATAAAACAAGTTTCCCTTCAGCTCTCTTTTGAGTTTTTAACCATGACTTCGTGACCATGCTGCTGTTTGTCTGTCTGCCATCACACATGATCTGACATCTGTGATGTAGTTCCCTTGTCTTTGTGACTAATTCAGATTCATGCTTTTACCTAGTTGACCTACTTTTACAGTTATATTCTCTTTTGCCTTGAGCTATTCATTATTTCCCTTGCACTAGGCGTTAATCTGTCAGGGGTCAGATTGGCTTGCCATCTTCCTACTATTCTCCCTTATTTGGTAGATCTCAAATTGTATTTAGGACTCTGTTTTCAACTGATTTTGGAGACATACACATTGGTAGGAAGTATCTGTTCCAGGCTGCCAAGTGAGTTACTAGCTTGGAGAATGTCATCTCATAACTCTTACTAGAAAGCAACAATTTTTAAAATACTATGCTTAGTCTCATATCACTTTTTCTTATCTATTCATATAACATTTGTGTTAGATTATATGGTAATTTTACAGAGATCAAAATGTGAATATGATATGGTCTCTGCTCTCAAGAAGCTTAGTCTAGTGATAACATGACAGGCATAATGGCAGTTATTAGAAAACCTGTGGTAGAATTATATACCAAAAAAAGGGGGTAGTTGTTATACTGTGGGTTTGAGCTGATGGAGTAAATAGTCTAGGATTATGAGAATGATTCAGTACTAGAAGATGTAACATTAATTTACTACATTAACATGTCAAAGGAGAAGGATCAAGTGGGTACAGTTGTAGGAAAAATTGGATAAAATTCAGCACCTATACAGATAATTGAATAGGAATAGGAGGGAACTTAACTTGAAGGAGAGTATCCATTAGGAAATTATAGCATTAGTGGAGAAACATTAGTGGAGAAATATCCCATTAAATTTAAGAACAAGATAGGGTAGCTCCTATCTCCATTATTATTTGTTAATATAATAAGTAGAGAAATAGAAATGACATGTAAGATTGCAAAGGAGGAACTAAACTGATATTTGATGATGATAAGATTTTTTTACCTGGAAAACCTAGAAAAATGAACTAAGTAAACTAAAATTTGAAAGGTGGTTAATCAGAAGTGCAATACACAAAAACTACAGTTTTCCTGTGATACACTGGCAATGATAAAGTAGACAATGAAATAGAAATCATTCATTTCACAAAAACCCAAGTTAAAAAAATTTTTATTTAAATGTGCAACACTTGTGGGGGAAATTTTTACATTTTACTAATGCAAATGTCAGTCTTTATCAAATTAATACTAGTGAAATCCTATTAAATCTCAATGATGTTTTTCATAGAACCTTATAAATGTCTAAAATTCATAGAAAAGAGTGATGTATAGGACCAGTCAGGACAAGTTAGAAAACAAAAACATAAAAGAGGATCTTTCACTAAAAGAATTAAGATAATAATAAAGCTATGGTAATATTAAAAAGGTTTTAATGACACAGAAATAAACATATGGGTTAATGGGACAGAATAGACTACAAAAGTAGACCCACACTTACATAATGGGCATCTAGTATACCATAGAGATCAGTGGGAAATGATAAGCTCCTTAGTAATTGTTGGGATAATTGATGATCAGTATGGGAAGACTATAAATTATATTCAGGGAACCTCAAGGAATATGAAAGGACAACCTATTAAAGTTTAGCAAGATTTCTAAAGATAAGAGTGATGCACAAAAATTGATAGCATTCATATATGAATAATAGCCTATTAACATATAATTTGAAAATACTACATTCACTCTAACAGCAAATACTAGAAGGCATTTAAGCATCTAATAAAAGACCATCATAAAGAATATTATAAAGTGGCTTTGAAAAAAAGCCCAGTGATGGATATGGCCGCAAAAGCAAAATTCATCAAACGAGATTGCATCAAACTAAAAACTTCACCCCACCACAAAGGAAATAATCTACAAAATGAAAAGATAACCTATGGCAGTTATCAAAGTAATTATAGTAATAGACTATGATCAGTTGAGTACTATTTGTACCCATGAATACATACAGATATAAATAAATTAAAGATCAGATATTGACATACTTTCAAAGTTTGTTCCCACAAAATACTGAATACAAAAGAAAAAGAGTAACTCTCTTAGAGAAAACTGGCAGATACCAGTTTAATCAAGTGACAAGGGAATGTCAACAAAAATGGGAGAAATCAAAATCATGTACCACCTCTTAGCATGCATTAAGAACACAAGATCTCTTATCTGTTTTTCTTGTCAATGATGTATAACCTGAACTTGAGTCAGACACAGACTAATCTGACAAATTCAATGGGAGAATGTTCTGTGAAATAACTGGCTTGTAACCTTTTTTTTTGGAGGGGGGTATCATTAATGTAAAATTACATGAGCAACATTATGGTTACTAGACTCCCCCCATTATCAAGTCCCCACCAGGTACCCCATTACAGTCACTGTCCATCACCTTAGTAAGATGCTATAGAATCACCACTTGTCTTCTCTGTGTTGTACTGCTTTCCCCGTGCTTCCCCTCCCCCACATCATGTGTGCTGCATTATGTGGAGAGAAAATGAGAATGAAGGGTAGCATCTTACTGTTTCAGATTTGTTTTGTAGGTTTTAGAACTATCAGGTATATTTATATTACTTAGAAGCACAGAATACATGTCAAAGTAATCATTTGTCCTTTTTTGGATTCTCTGTTAATGCAGCTGAATGCAGAAATTTTAAAAAATGTATTATATGATCATTTTTTGTCATCTATAGGCTGATAGGTGTATGTCAATATAATTGTAGCTTAAAGCATTTAAAAATGTTTCTGAATTTCTTTAAATTCTTGTTTTAGTGATCCTAAATTGGAGAGTCAGAGAGTCAGTAAAAAAGTCAACAATGATGCCTCACTTACAATTCATAATCTATCCATTTTGGTGAGACAGATAAAATTTTATTACCAGGTACGTGGTCCCTTTTTTCAACTGTTAATTTCATAACTGCTTCATATTCATATTTTTGTGATATTTAGCATCAATCACCTAATATATATTAAATTCTTATTATGTACCAGATCTGGTCTTTTTGCTGGAGAGAGCAGGAATAATATAGTTTATTTCTTATGCAATATTAAAAATACAAGCAAGCACTTCTTGGTTATCTAATTTCACAAATAATTGATAAATTTTCAAAACCAGTTCCCAGTTTCCTGAGAATTCACATAGTGTAACACTTTGTAGCTTACTTGAATTTGCCTTTGAAAAATGTACTTTCTGTCATCCTTTTTAAAACTTAAGTTAGTTGCATATTTCAGAGTTTAAATATGAGCATTTGTAAGGCTATCAATATGCCTCTTAGAATTGCTATAGCTGCATCACACATTTTGATGTTATATTTTTTGAAGTGTTTATGCATTTTCTAATGTTTGTTATGATTTCTTATTTTACTTACTGTTATTTGGAAATATGCTTTTAGATTCCAAAAATTTGGTATTTTTCAAGCAGTCTTTTTTGGTTTTCAGTTTTGTCAAAGAATATAGTTTGTATGGTACTGATTTTTTGACATTTGTGAATAATTATTTGCCCTGACCTAGTATTTCATCAGTTTTCATTATTGTTTGACATATGCTTGAGAAAGATGTGTACTCACCAATTGTTTGGGTGAGTCAGAGCAAGTTTGTTTGTTAAATATATTATTCAGTCTTTTGCAGCCTGACTAATTTTGTCCCTTGATCTATTACTTAGTGAGAAAGATGACTTGAAATCTCCCATTTTGATAAGTTTTGTCAAATTTTCATTTATACATTTTAAAGCTATGTTATTGGGTACATGAATTTAAAATTGTTTAATTAATCTGCACAATTATACATTTATCAGTTGTTCAGAGATAACTTAAAATGAATACTTGGAAGTAAATTAAAAGGTAGACCTTCCCCCCCACCAGTCTTCATCATAGTAACTTGCTACTTTTGTTTCACTTCCTACTCTTCCCAACAAAAGTCATACACATAATAAGTCATGGAGCTGATTTAAGCCTAGGCATTCTGGTTCTGCTTTACCAGAGTACTCTTTACTAATTCATTCAATTTCATTGCACTAGGGTACATTGTTAGATACAGAGAGGTAAGTTTGAATTTAGCAATTTGCAACAGCAATTTGCATCATCCAAATATAATCGAACTTCATAGTGTAAAGGTCAGCTGTATTAACACATGATGTCATTGCTGGTTCCCTGTGCGGTGAAAGGATACATGAGATTGCTTTCATCTTTGTGGGGAGACTGAGCTAGCATGAGAGTATGGGGTAACAGTAGGCAGGAAGTGGGGAGCCAGCTGAGGAAGAGGGTGGAGGAAAGAGAGTGGACCGTATTGAAGATTCCTAACCACTTTGGACAGTTTCCTCATGAAAGTGTAACAACATAGAAAAATACATAGTAAATCACTTGCAAAATTGCCTTGGAAATGTAAGCTGATATTTTCTAGCTGACTCATCAGTTTTGACTGTTAACCCCAAAATAAGTGGTGTGAATAAGAATTATCTTTTATCTTGGAAGTTGAGATAAAGCTTTTCTTCTGGTAATTCTGGATCTGTTAAAAGTTAAAGCCTCTATGAGAATGAATTTGACTGTTCTTTGTTCAGGCTGAGACTATCTCCACTAAATGGGATATAGACAAAGCACTGATTACTTTTTTATACGTATCTCTTCTTTATGATTTCTTTTAAATATCTACAGTGATAGTCCTGATAATTTTGCTTCCAGGCAATGAAGGTAAAAATTAGAATGAATTAGAAATATATTCCTTTAAGTCCATTTAGCTGCTGCAGACTTAGCTATAGCACATTCCCTCTTGAGATAAATTGCTTTTAACTGGAAAATTCATTTATTAAATAGCAAATTCACTATAAATCTTTAGAGTAAGTGATTTTAGCAATTTTTAATACTCTTAATATTCCTAATTATACTTACCTAAATGATGCACGTTCTGAGTATATTTTTCTTTAAATGTATGTATATTTTTGGTGATAGTTTTTTTAAAGAGCTAGTATATATAATGCTGGAGAAAATTTTTTGAAACTTTCTAATACTTATCTATGAATAATTATAGATTAAAGATTAATTCTAATTAGCCACTGGTGTCTTGCCACACACTGGCTATAGGAAAATGCTTTAGTGGATCTAGGATAACACATCTTTCAGAAAACAACACAAATTAACTTTTCATGGTTATTATGCTTCCTCATCATAGTATTAAGAATGATTTGGAAAAAATTGAATACTTTCAAAACCTCATTCCTCAGTAACTAGTTATGTCTGATGATGTATTAGAAGCTAGATTGTAAAGACACTTACAGTTATTTCTGTAATCTTGCAAAGAATCAGTGTCATCTGTAGCCTAATTCATCCCAGATCCTTTGTAGCAAATCATTGTAATGGTTGTAATGACAGACACCATGTGTTCCTTTATTTCCTCAAAGGAAAGGTAGCATAAACAGAAGGTACATACTTGATGTATTTCCTAAAATGAGTAATTTGAAATTATTCAGTTCATTCTGAATCATCCTGTACCATCAAATTGTGCATATATTCTTGTCTAAAAATTTGACAGAAGTCAAAAAAAGTAAAACTTCTCTTGTAGATAGAAAAAAATGATTCACTGAGGAAGAGCACACTTGCAGGAAGTGATCATAAGATAGTTTCAGATAAAGTAGCTTTCTTAATTTTATCTATTTATTTATTTATTTTACCTTTCTTAATTTTAATATCAGTTGACATTTTTAGTTCCCTCAGAGAGAAGTAACAAAAAAAAAGAGAGTACACATGATTGAACTTTTATTGAAGAATGTTATTTAATTATATAACACTTAAAACTTAGATTTCCAAATTATAAATATTAGACCACTTCTATTTGGACACTTTTGTTTTGTGGGCACTTGATATATAATTACTGTAGTCTATCTGATATTATAATTTTAGTTATTTAATTCATTAACTTAAAGGTACAAAAGACTTAAGACCTTGGATATCTTTTTTCACATTTATTTTTTTTAAGCTTCTAAATTGCAGTATAGCATACCTACAGAGAAGTGCACAAAAGTTAAGTCATGGCTTACTGAGTCATTACCTAATCAGTATTACCCATATAACAACCTTTGGGTATCTTTTTTTACAGGAGACTTTGCAGCAGTTGATCATGATGTCATTGCCAAATGTCTTAGTCATTGGCAGAAATCCCTTTTCTGGTAAGTAATAGAATTGGTATAATGTGATAATAGAGCCTTCTCTTTATGCAATACTGTAATGCTTACCAAGATCTTGCTTATTTACATTAGCACACTAGGTCTTTTATGACTTTATAGGGAAAGTTGGAGGTGATAATCTGTTTTATAGAGAGAAAATAAACCCAAAATATTTGTAAGTTGTATATGGGATCAGATACACATTATACATTAAGTCCAGAGTTTTTTTTACTACCAAATTGATACTTTTTTGTGATGATTTTTAGTGTCTCATTATAAACAAAAAATAGAAGATAATGTAGTTACAACCTTAGAAAAGTGATTTTGAAGTAATTTCTAGGTTGCTATGTGTATATATACTATCTACCATTGCCAAATTTGTCTGAATCTAATGTTTTACTGACTGACAGGTTGTAATTTATATTAAACTACTTCTGCATGGAAAGCTAAGAAGCAGTTTCTTGGATCATTTAATTTACTTTTCTGAAACTTTTCTGCTCTTTACCAGATTTTAAATGTTACATGTTCAGAGTTTTAATTTTGAACAGTTGGGGAAATTAGCAGCAACCACAGAGTTTCAACAAAGGACTTACTCTTCCTACGAGCTACATGTAACCCAAATCAAGTATATTTTCCCCAAACCCCACCCCCAACCTCAGTCAAACAAACAAAACTAAACCAGAAGAAATTTTTAAAAATGAAAAAAATATTTATTTGGGGAAGGGTAATTAGTATGTTCAGTGTGGCTAAGAAGGTAGGTTGTTTCATTTAAAAAGATTTTGACTTTATCTTGATCTTTTATAGAGGAATGTTGTTTAATTATTGACCTGTGGTAAAATTTTGGGCCAAAGAAGTTACTTATTTTGTCAGCTGAATGTTCTAAGAAAAATCTGATATGAATGCTGTTGGACAGTGAATGAACTCTCTAGTTCTATTACAGATCATTAACTTTTTCCAGCATTATTTATTTTACCAGTGTCATTGTAACTCACTGCATTTGAGGTTTTGGTCCTCATGAATCTGCACAGTGGAAAGCCATGTAAATTTTATAGATAGATAACTCTGTATATAAGATGTGTTTTAGAAAGAAAACACTAGTAGGCCTAAAAGAAGCCAAACCTGTTAGGAACCATTTTGGCTTTGTGATGTGTCCCTATATAAGCAGCTCTTCATTTGGTATGCTCGTGTGGTATAATTTATGGAGAAGTAGTAGATTTATAGTGACCATACTTTTTTGCACAGAGCCTGGCATTCTATTTTATCTGTACTGCAGCCCTTTAAAAAACTGAGATCCTTGCCCATGTCTTCTGCTATTACTTCATTGTGCACATTCAGAGCCTCTATTTAAAATTCTTCACTATACTTTCAGACCTAATCCTTTGGTCAAATTATGACTCTTACTTCTAGAAGTGATTCTGCCAATACTAAGAAAGAGTGTTGAAGTAAAGTACTTAGTAATTGTTTTTATTTCAGAACAAGGCACAGAAGAAGTTAAAAAGTTGCTTTTACTTTTACTGGGTTGTACAGTTCAGGTAAGTTAAAATATTTCTTCGTATTTTCATTTTAATAACTTCCTTATATGTTTTTTCAGGCTCTGGTTTCTAAAAGACTTACAGATAGGCTATTGATTTCCAGTCTGTTAGAAAGTTTTAAATAGCTGTATAACCTCCCAAGGAGAATTTGGAGAAAAACATTTGTTTTGTTATCTAATTTCAAACTTTATATTATCAGATAGTCATAGTGTTTAAAATCTTTGTTTTTTTTAATCCTGAGGCTTCTAATGGCCCCAAGGTTTTCAAATTTCCGTAGAAGTACCCTTAAAAACCTCCCCCAAAACATAATCTTTATGATTTAAACAGATGCATTTGTATTATAGAAAGAAAGCAGAATTAACAATTAAAAAGAGTCAGAATTATGAAAACTAATTTAGGAGTCTGAGTTGTAATTATATTGCCCTTTGGTCAATGATTATAATAATAGAAACTGTGATTTATTGAATACCTACTTTGTGTCAGATATACCTTACATAGGTTTTCTCATATTTTTCAGATAAGGAGACTGATATTTAGATAGGGTGATATTTAAGTTATCAAAATTAAGTCACTTGTGAGAGTCAAGAAGTGTTCTCTCAGCAGTTACAGTGGAACTGCACGTGCATGTGTCACTCGGGCTGTCCCAGACAAACCAAGGAGCCGCTTTAGGTTTAAATTCTGTTGCTGGCAGGCCGAAGAGTTGAGATTCACTTCTGGTCTGACTTCAAAACCTGTTATACCATGTTGATTTTCCTTTAATTTGCCATTATTTGGATGAGTGATTACAGTGTTACTTTAAACTATCTTAGTTCTTTGTGGAATAAAGTTATTTGTAAACAAATAAATAATGTGGCCACTAATGATTTTTTATTACATATGCCAGAAGTTATATATTCAGGAATATTGACTTTTAGAGCTGAGTGCAGAATTACGCATTTTTATGTTATTAATGCTTAATGATATGTAATGTATAGGTGTTTACTTTATAATTGATTAAATATGAAGTTGAATATAGTATTGATACTCATTGCTCTTCTAATTTGACCACCAACTGTTGAGTTATAAACACCGCGTTAATTATTTACATCCTTTCTGTACTCTATTTGCTTTAAAAATACTCTTGTTGATGAATGTTATGTAAATTTAGGTAACACAGTGACAGCATAAATTTGGTTGTTATTTCTGGTTACTATGTGGTTGTTATTGCTGGTTAGTAAAATGAACAGTGAATAAAGAAGAACCAAGGACTTTTTTATGAATGAACATTTTAGGGAATGCTTCAATATTAAGGGAACCAATGTTATTACCATCTCTAAGAGTAACAAAGAAAGATTATGATATCTTAACTGCTTCCCCCTTCCCTACCATTTTCTATAACTCACATAATAGTGTCCCAGATGCTGGAAAATGAAAAGGATGGCATGAAAATAACATTCTTTTTCTAATAAGCTAAAGCTTTAGGTAAGTTAACCTATGTAAACCAGAAGTGTCTTCTCGTTTCTTCTAGACTTAAGAAAATATTCCTTCTGTGTTCCAATATATTGTATACCAATATATCGGTGATTTCCTAAGGAAATTTACAAATAATTTTTGACATTTGAATGACTATTGATACATAAGTTTTAAAACAACTTCCTTCATTTTACTTTACTATTGAAATAAAGCACCTCTATGTAATGGGCAAATTTTTCTTAAAACTACTTAATAGCCATTCTAGAAATCATCAATTATAATGTCAGATATATACATTCCTTTTTATTAATGCACAGAACTACATGTGCATAGACTTACTCTTGTAAGGAGCCCACTTTCTAAAATAGTTTACATTAGTGTCAGCATGTAATTAAAACAAGAAGATTTTCTAGTGATGTTAAAGTATTCTTATTTTTTTCTATTCATTTGTTAGCTGGTTATGATTACCTGTACTTTATACTCACTTAGCTGGGAACGGCTTCTTAGGTAGTTGTTATTTCAATTGGTCATTGGAGAAAGGAAGAAGAATATTTGGGTATATTAAGGTTTAAGAGAAGGCACAGAGTGGGAAAATTGTGTAAAAGAATAAATATATAAATATGCATTGGTGTGATGTAAATAAAGTAACCAAGAAAATAAAGGCAATTTTAAGATGTTTCGAGAGAGCAGGGCAGTGTGAAGGTAGGTTTTAAGGTTGACAGAAGGAGTTCATTAGGTTTATAATTTTTTTCCTAAACTTGAGAATAGTTTAAAGAGCCACTAAATGAAATGTATCTGCCACGTGAAAGTGTGACTCTTGGAAAGTATGAGTGGAGTCAGTGAAGAGTAATTTGTAGCACTATGTTTGGAAGATGTCTAGGACCCGAAGTAGCAAACGCATTTGAAAATAAAGAAAGAATAAATACAGGGAAGTTCATTTTTCATAGTAAAGATAGATTTTACCAGTTGTAAAAAACAAAGCAAAGACTCAAGGACACCATCATTCTAATCTTAACCTGTGTCAGCATCATTCAGAGTTTTTATAGAAATGAGGAGGTGGCAGGGTTGTCAGACCTTCGTCTTTGATGTGAAATGATGTAAACCAGTCATAGTATATATCTTATGTATTTGTAGTCATGTCAGAAATTTTTTTTTCACTTGAAAGCCCTTGAGCCCCATCTGTTGTGCCAAAAAGTCAGATCTACCAAGAAGGAAGGAAGGATCCAGTTTTGAAAAAAATACTGTATTTTTATCATTCTGTATTTTTTAAACTGTTAATGATTTGGTTCTGTTTTTCCCAAATGTACACTATGTACCAGATGCTGTAGTTAAGAACAGGGACAGGGATTTTTTTTTTAATACAAATCTCAGGGAGTTTAAATTTTAGAGACAGACCAAACAATAAACAGTACATGGTAATAATTACCATAATGCAAGATATATTGGTACACAGAGGGAATATTTTCTTAAGTCTGCTTGTAGTGTAAGGGAATGGCTCTCTCAGGAGGTAATATTTGAAGTGAGAGCAAAGATATTGAGATAAACAACTTGTTAGGGATCATCAAGTATGGTTGGAATGAAACATGCATTGGGGAGAATGGCAAGAGATTAGAGGGGTGACAGGGGTTGGGTCACAAAGGACTGGATTTGCCATATTAAAATAGAGTTTGTATTTCATCCTATAGATATTTGGGAGCTACTAATGCTAAGGACATTAAATATGTGACAACAAAATATATTGCTAGCCTTCAGCTCTAACTATATGAACAATTAAAATAAATCTTTGTTGATACTGAAAACCAAAATGTATTTTAGGACCAGAAACTATTTAGAAAACCAATCAGTTGACAAGTATTAATTACTTGTGTTCTAGACTTAAGTAATGTTTCTAGAACATAATCTCTATTATGGAAAATCAGTTCATCTAATAGTTGAATAGGTTAAAGTTCTAATATTTAGTATAATGTATAAATGGCATAAATGTTTTTTCACATTAAGATCTGCTTTATCTATTATACTTGTGATTTGTAAGTAGAAATAGTAAGTTTAAAGTTTGCTGATTTGATACTATAGTCCAAGAATTCAGTGGGCTNAAACTGTTCAAGACCAGTGCTTGGGTATTTTCATTATTGGTGGGCTAAACCAGTCAATTCCCTCCAGAACCTTTTTTAGTGGGTAACACAAGTTTCCTGAACCACTTCTGAGCATCAGCTAGAATTTTCAGAGATGTATGGCCCTGCATCCCCACTATGTGGTAGTTGAGAGATTCCCACACAAATTCATCCCACACAAAAGGAAGAATTTTGCAGTGTATGTTGTTTGGAGATTTCTCTTCTGAGACCAAGTCTCGGAATTCACCCCTTTTCAACAGAACTTAGGTTTTATATCAGCAAATAACCTCTGGCTATTCAGTATCCAAAAATATTTATTTTGGACTTTGGCCAGGTTCCATTAGTGCTTGAAAGTAAGTGAGTGTCAAATGTGGTTGAAATTAAAATTTTGGCCTTAATGTGTGCCCTCACAAGCAATTCTAACATTAGTATTTGATTCCAAAAACCAGTTTCGAACTTGGTCAGCTTGAGGGCTACAGTCTATTGTTTTCCTATCAGTTTTCTGTAAAGCATGTTAAAAATTAGCATTTTGAAACATTAAGTATTGTATACATTTTGGGGAGATAAAACAATCTGTAACTTCTAGCTGAGGCATTTCTTTTTCAAAAATATGTGAAAATAACAAATGTAGCTTAATTTAAAGAGGTAATTTATTTGCTGATATTTTTTAAATTTTTATTATTTTTTTAGTCATGGAAAAATATACGTAACAAAATTACCATTTTAACCAATATTTACAGTTCACTAGCACTAAGTACATTCACAGTGTCATGCAACCATCATCACTATCCATCAACAGAACTTTCTCTTCTTCCAAAACTGAAATTCTATGCCTACTGAATAGTAACTCCCCATCTCTTTTGCTCCCAGCCTTTAACAGCCACCATTCCACTTTCTGTCTCTGAATTTGACTGCTCTAGGACCTCACATAAGTGGGGTCCTTTTGTAAATGGACACTTAGTATAATCTCTTTAAGATTCACTCAATTTGTGAAATATGTCATAATTTCCTTTTCAAGAGTAAATAGTATTCCATTGTGCATATATACCACATTTTGTTTCTCTGTTCATCCATTGATGGACACTGGGTTGCTTCTATTTTTTGGCTACTGTGAATAACGCTGCTATGAACACGGGTGCACAAATAGCACAAGCTCCTTCTTTCTGTTCTTTTGCTATGTATTCAGAAGGGGAACTGCTATATCATATGGTAGTTCTGTTTGTAATTTTTTTTAGCAACTGCTACTGTTTTCCATAGTATCTGTACCATTTCACATTCGAACCAATACACAAGGGTTCCAACTTCTCCACATCCTCTCCAACATTTATTATTTTCTGGATTTTTTTTTTGTAATAGCCATCTTTTAAGGAGAGAATTTTAGTTTCTGTATATTTCTTTTATTGTGGCTTATTTTTGGTGTTACTTAGGTAGAACTATGATCTGTTTAGTGATTGGTGGTTTTATTATTGAAAGCACTATAATGTATTCCTTGCTTTATAATTTTCAGTATCTTGTTTTGGGTATTCCTTCCTCTATTTTAGTGTAATTTTTCCACATAGGCCTGTCTTCTTCCTTTAAGAAATGAAAGCAGCATTCAAAAACAGTAACACTAGCCACTATCCAAATATCTTACCTCACAGAATAAATTATAATTAAGACTTTTATATTTAAATACATATATATGTAAGCTGTAGGAATAACTTTGAATATGAAGAAAACTGTTCAAGACCAGTGCTTGGGTATTTTCATTATTGGTGGGCTAAACCAGTCAATTCCCTCCAGAACCTTTTTTAGTGGGTAACACAAGTTTCCTGAACCACTTCTGAGCATCAGCTAGAATTTTCAGAGATGTATGGCCCTGCATCTCTGAAAGTACCAAGTGAATATGAGGAATTTGAGGAATAATGTGTTAAGAACTTAAACTTTCTGCTGGAAGAAAGTCAATTTTAGGATTAATGCAATTCTCCTTCCCGCACCTTGCCACCCAAATAACTTTTCTGTTCTTTTCCTGTATTCCAGTGTCCATATCATATTCTTGGAATATCATGGTATTTTGCAGGCTTAGGAATCCATTACTGTAATAGAGTTAGAAGTAACTTTAGTGCTCATAACCCTTGAAGAGCTTTATATACAGACAAAATAGAGCTTACTTTTAAGTGGAAAAGATTTGCTGATGATTATTCAGTCTTCACCAGAGTCTTTATAGCTGTAAGTGAAACTACTTTTATGTCTTTTTTTAACACCAGACTTTTTTATGCTCTTGAGCTAGGCTTGTTTGTACAATAGCCACTGAACATGTAGCTATTTAAATTAAAATTAACTACAGTCAAATAAAATTAAAATTCAGTTTCTCAGAAATGTAGTACTAGCTACATTTTAAAACTCAGTAGCCACATGTAGCTAGTAATTACAGTATGTGACAACACTGGTATAAAACGTGGTCTGATGATTTAACTTCAAAGTTTGAATCTTCTCTCATTCTCTTTTCCATCTTTTAATAGTCTTTCTTTTTTCTATCTTTCAAGATCCTATAAACTTCATTCTGTATTCTTTAAGAAAACCTATTTATAAAGCATTTTCAGAATTCTTAATGATTTGTGTTGGTACTGTGTTAGAGGTTGAGCTCCTAAAGATAGTTTAAGTAAAGAAACAATGGCTATGGGGCTTAGAAAAGGGAAGTTATATGTGTTCAGTTTAAACTGAACTCAAAGATATGACAATTGAATTGGAGGACCCTTCAATGATTCAGTCTTAACCATGCCATTTTATATGCTCATTGGCTCAGAAACTATGCATAGGTCAACATTTTTGGAAGCATTAAATTTAAAAATTGGGGTTATCATACCTAAAAAGTTAGTTTTTCTGTATGCTACAAATGTACTATCAGAAAGTCATTTCTTAATTATTTTCATTAGGCCTGTCAAATATTTAAAAAGTTAGTTTTTCTGTATGCTACAAATGTACTATCAGAAAGTCATTTCTTAATTATTTTCATTAGGCCTGTCAAATATTATTTACTGGACAAAAAAAATTCTTGTTTTAAAAATCCGTGATTTTCATCCCATTTCCCCCAAACTTCTGACTTTCTAGCCACAGCTGGGAAATGTACATTCCTAGTAACATAATTTTAAATATTATTATATCATCCTAATAATTGTGTTTCTACAACATAGATATAGAACTTTTTGCACTGATGGGAGGGAATGTGTTTGATTAAGCTGAATTGTATGGCAATAGAAACAGAATGTTACAATTTGATGTAATGTGTAGAGTATAAATCAGAACCTTGCTAAATATCTTGATCAGAGAGCCAGTTTTTCTTTTTTGAGTATATTGTCTTCACTAGTAGTTCAGAAATTGGCTCAGGAGATGCAGCTAAGCTAGACAAGGCAATGCTGTCTACTTTGTATGCACTTCTCATTTGGTAACTGCAAGAATACAGTTATACTAGCAGTTGGATTGCAGTGGAAGAGATGTGGACAGAAGGCAGAGATTAAGATGCATGTTAAATGTTTATTCAATACTGACTGGAAAAAAGGGATTACATTTGCATTGTAATATTTTTAATTGATTTAAAGCTCTCTAAAAGTTACACAATAAAGAATGCTGCCTTTATTCTGCATGATATATGTGGACTTATATATGCATTCTTAAATTTTGCCCCTGGTAACTTTATGTAATGGTAGAAACAAATTAAACATTTCTTGTATTACCTTATAAATGTTGAACTGGGCCTCAGAAGTAGGTCTTTTATTAAGATTGATAGGATGAAGATGTGAGAATGAATTGTAAGCTTAAAATAAAAATTGCTTAAATTTTTTTTCCAAGAAGAAAGCATGTGTTGTTTGATGATAGCCAAAGACTGAGCATTTTGGCTGTATTCCGAATTCTGCCAGTGACTGACTCACTGTGTTTTTTGGCAGTAACCCACCCTCCCTGAAATAAGTTCTTGATTCTTTACTTCTGTTTGTAACGTTAGCATAATAATAATACTGTATTGACCTCAGATAGGTTGTGTAATGGTTTCCCACTTTAGTACTTTGCAGCATAAAAATAGTATGGATTTTTCAGTACCTTGCTTTTTAAATAAATATTTCTGAATTCTTTTTATTAGGTATGTATATTAAAGACCATTTAAATACAAAGTAAAACAAACCCCCATTGTACTGTTCAAACATAGCCAGGCTTTTTGACCTGATGAGTTTTAGTTAAAGCTTATTAAGGACTTCATCTGTTAAATGTGAATGATGGTTTTATTCATTTCTTTTAGTGTCAGAAAAAAGAAGAATTTACTGGAAGAATTCAAGGCTTAAATTTTGACACAAAAGCAGCAGTTGCTGCACATATTCAAGAGGTAATATAACCTGTGTACAATTTTTATGTACTTTTTATAAAGCCTGTGGTGTATTTGAATATGTCCCAAAATACTCAAAGAATAAACATGAACACATGAAGGTCAAATCCTGATGAACTCTGCTTTTAGGCATATTGTTTTCTTCTTGTCAGAAATAGTTTCTTAAATGAATTATCTTATATATGTCACAGTGCTTAACTACAGATGTACTGTCGTAGGGACATAGGCACAAAGTGTTAATTTGATGAAGTATATGTCTTTGTTAGCACAGAGCAAGTAGTGTAGTAAATGGAAGCAGCAGAAAGTGGATCACTCCTGTAATTCAAAACTAAAGTGAGGTAAGGTAAGATAACCTTAGTATTATGTTCTTCCAGTGATTTTCTTTTGAATGAATATTCAGCATAATTTTTTTGAAGATATTACTAGAATAATAAATTCCTTAGTGATTTTACTATCCATATAAAACTTCAATCTAGGACATACTGTGCAATGTCAAATAATTAAAGTTAAGGTAATTCATTTGTTAAGATGGATTTTAAAAGCTGCCATTTCTGCCTCTATTGAGTGATAGGCTTTTAATCATGCATGCTTAACAAGACTTTAGAACTAGAGCATATGAGATTTTCCATGTTAAGTAGAAAAAGAACTGAAAAGGGAGGGGAGCAGATTTTTAAATGGTGAAAATAAATGGTAGTGTTTAAAAATATTATCTAAATGACTTTGTATTCCATCTATCATCTTTTCTCATAGTTAACATTCACAGAGCCCAGCTTTTTGTCTGTAATATTGTTGTCACCAGTAAGCATATTAGTACTCTATAAAATACAGTTTTATTGGTATTGGTTTATGTATGTGTGAATATATATATGCACATACATATATGTTTGTTTTTGCTAGCTTTGTGGTTTGTATTTTATTTTGAATAAATGCTAAATATTGCAAGTTATGAAATTTGCCACCATTCTTGAAAGTGTTCTTCTTTCTGTTTATTATAAAAGTTTAAGGAAAATATTAGAATCATGGTGAGAAATGGAAAATAAGAAATAATTATTTTACTTATATAGCTTCTCCATTCTTAAAAATCTTTTTCATATTTTAATATATAAGTATGAATTTTATACAAACATGAATACATAAATATGAATATTATGTGTCTCAACAAATACTGTACTAAAATGAAACCAGTTTTTAAGTATTAGCCATTTTTTAATTGTTTAATTGGTTTGCTTTCCTAAAGGTAATCAATAATCAAGAGAATGTGTTTGATCTTCGGTGGATGGAAGAGACTGATATGTCTCAGGAGGAACTAGAACCACTCTTGAAAAATATGGCATTGCATCTGAAAAGACTTATAGATGAAAGAGATGAACATTCAGAGGTTTGTGGGGTTCTTTCAGTATATTATAAAAGTTTGCTTTCCAAAAAAGGAAAAAAGTAGCTTCAGAGAGTGTTTAGAATTGATACTCTGTTGCTTAGGGACAGTAATAAAGTACTGTATATCTTTTTTTGTGCAACACAGGAACTAGAAAGGATGTATAAAATCCCCAAATTGCTAGTAAGCAGATTGCAGTTAGGTTTTCTTTTCTCCTTCCTTTTAAATTGTTATTCTGATTTTCGTCCTGTATGTTTTTTCAGTCATCTCCATAGCTCTGGCAGTAGTACAAAAATGTGAAACTGAAAATATTGTTGATGTAAGTGGAGAAATCATTGCCTTGAAGCATAAGAATCAACTTAAAGTTATCTTATTTTTATTGCCACATTTTGAGTTTAGAAAAATAAGTGTTAATTAAAGGAGAATAACAGGTGTTCTGAATAAAACGTCCCACAAAATATTTCAAATTTCTGTAGACAGTATAATGACGTGTGATTTTTAAAAAAAGAATTATTATACCCTCCTTTAAGAGAGTACTTTGCTTTTATTTTTCTTAGATGTATTTATTTGTTTGTTTGTTTTGGTATCATTAATCTACAATTACATGAGGAACATTATGTTTACTAGACTCCCCTCATCACCAAGTATCCTCCACAAACCCCATTACATTCACTGTCCATCAGCGTAGTAAGATGCTGTAGAATCACTACTTGTCTTCTTTTTGCTGTACAGCCCTGTCCATGCCCCCCTCCCACATTGTACATGCTAATCGTAATGCCACCTTTCTTTTTTCTCCCCTCTGATCCTTCCATTCCCACCCATCCTCCCCAGTCCCTTTCCATTTGGTAACTATTAGTCCATTCTTGGGTTCTGTGATTCTGCTACAGTTTGTTCCTTCAGTTTTTTCTTTGTTCTTATACTCCACATATGAGTGAAATCATTTGGTACTTGTCTTTCTCTGCCTGGCTTATTTCACTGAGCGTAATACCCTCTAGCTCCATCCATGTTGTTGCAAATGGTAGGATTTGTTTTCTTCTTATGGCTGAATAATATTCCATTGTGTATATGTACCACCTCTTCTTTATCCATTCATCTACTGAGGGACACTTAGGTTGCTTCCATTTCTTGGATATTGTAAATAGCTTATCCATGAACTGTTGAATGAAACTTTTAAAAATGAGAGCTTCGTATCACAAAGTTAAGATACTTTTTGACCAATGAGTTGTTTTTCACATTGTAGTACAGTACTGCATGCAGTGAATCATGTTGATGTTCTCATAACCTAGAATACTAAAAGTGAATCTGTGTTTATTTCTGTATTTCCTTAGACTATCATAGAACTCTCTGAAGAGCAAGATGGTCTTTACTTTCTACCCCATGCCTCTTCATCTGTATAGTCACCCTGTGGTTCTCCAGGCATGAAGCAAACAGAAAGTTGACAACTGGCAGACGCTAAAGCCAAGATAAGAAGGCTAGGGAGGAATTGTAAGTTGCTGATTTTCAAGTTTCATTGAATTTATATGGTCACAGAGTTGACGTAAGTAATGTTTATAGACCTATGGCATATACAGCAATGGTTCCCATTGACTAGCCTGTGTCAGAGTTTTACTAGTATTTGTCAAAATGAGAAAAATAAGGAAACTGGCATAAGGATTTCCTAACGCTAAATCTTACCAGTCTAAAGTATGTCCTTTATTCTGGATTTTTGTCCTTCCTATGTTTGTCGTTTTAAAATACCCTGTCATTTATAAAATAATGTTCTTCATTGGTATTTTGGGGTCTTCTTAATTTTTTTTTATTTTAACATCCCATGAAATCCAAAATACTAGCATCCACCAAACCAGATCAACAAGTCTAGCTCTTAAAATTAATGCTATAAAAGACTGAATTGTTAGCATAAAGTATTACAAAAAAATGATATTGTATATGTATTCTCTGTACTGAGTAACAGAAATGCTTGAGTCATGTACTTAGAAATGGTAAATACTCAGATTGGTTAGTGCTGATGTAATTATATTTATTTAATCTTCAAAGATCATTATAGAAAAGTCAGTATAAATGTCACATAAGCATTCCTTGGTGAAGAAAATGTAGAGGCATACCTCATTCTGTTGCTCTTTAATTGCGTACTTGGCTTTACTGCGCTCACAGATACTGCTTTCTTTACAAATTGAAGGTTTGTGGGAATCCTGTTGTCAAATAAGTCTATCGGTGCCATTTTCCAAAAGCATTTGCTCACTTCATGTTTGTGTTACATTTTGGAAATTCTCACAATATTTCAACTTTTTCATTATTGTTAAGTTCGTTATGGTGATCTGTGATCGGTGATCTTTAAGGCTACTGTAATTGTTTTGGGGTATCACAAACACACCCCAAAGTTAATCCATAAGTGTTGTGTATGTTCTGATTGCTCTAACAACCGGCCATTCCCGTCTCTCTCCATGTTCTCGGGCCTCCCCATTCCCCGGGACACAACAATATTGAAATTAGGCCAGTTAATAACCCTACGATGGGCTCTAAAGTGTTCAAGTGAAAGGAAGAGTTGCACATCTCTTACTTTAAAATGAAAAGCTAGAAATGGTTAAGCTTAGCGAGGAAGGCACGTCAACAACCGAGGCAGGCTGAAAGCTAGGCCTCTGGCGCCAGTTAGCCAGGTTGTGAACGCAAAGGAAGAGTTCTTGAAGGATATTAAAAGCGCTACTCTGGTTAACCCATGGATGAAAAGAAAGTGGAACAGCCTTACTGCTGATCTGGAGAAAGGTTTAGTGGTCTGGATAGAAGACCAAACCAGCCACCACATTCATTAAAGCCAAAGCCTCATCCAGATCAAGGCCCTAACT